TCCCCACTGGGGATGTGCCCGCAACCGAGGTACATGCCCTTGACCGGAATCGAACCTGGGACCCTTCAGTCCTCAGGCCGACGCTCTATCCACTGAGCCAAACCGGTTTCGGCTGTTCCTAGCTTCTTAAAGTGGAAGGGTAGATAACCTATTTTATTCCTTCTTTCTTCATATTGCTTTAACTGCATCCTACAAACTCTCATGTATTGTAGTTTTGTTAGTTTTTCTTTTTTAATTCTCACCTGAGGATATTTTTCCATTGAATTTTAGGGAGAGTGGAAGAGAGAGGGAAAGACAGAGAGAAATATTGATGTAAGAGAGACACATTGATTGTTTGCCTCCTGCATGAGTCCTAACCAAGGTACATGCCCTTGACCAGAATTGAACCTGGAACCCTTTGGTCCACAGGCTGACGCTATCCACTGAGCCAAACCAGCTAGGGCTTAAAACATTTTGATTAGTGTTCTTGTGGTATATTTTTCCCCATCTTTTTGCTTTGAACCTACAAGTGTCCTAATAGACATGTTTTTTTTTTCCTTACAAACAGCTTATTGTTTTCTCCTCTGTGATCTGATGATCTCTGTCTTTGGATTGTGTTTAATAAAATTATTTTGATATGGTTGAGTTTAAGATCTATCAGCTTTTTATTTTGCTTTTGTGCCAGCTGTCCTTTTCCTTTTTTTCCCTTTTCTGACTTCTTTTGGGTTGAGTTTTTATTAGCATTCCATTCTATATCCACAACTGGCTTCTTATCTGCACCTTTTCTAAATGGTTACTTTATTTATTTATTTTAAACGAGTGACATTTTATTTATTTATTTAATATATTTTATTGATTTTTTACAGAGAGGAAGAGAGAGGCATAGAGAGTTAGAAACATCAATAAGAGAGAATCATCAATCAGCTGCCTCTTGCACACCCCCTACGGGGGTTGTGCCCGCAACCAAGGTACATGCTCTTGACCGGAATCATACCTGGGACCTTTCAGTCCGCAGGCCGACGCTCTATCCACTGAGCCAAACCGGTTTTGGCGGTTACTTTATTTTTTATTTTTTTAAAAATATTTTTGTATTGATTTCTGAGAAGGGAGAGGGGAAGAGAGAGAAAAGAGAAACATCAATGCTGAGAGAGAATCATTGAATGGCTCCTACTGCATGTCCATCCCGGGGAGCAAGCCCAGAACCTGGGCATGTGCCCTGACTGGGAGTCAGACCATAACCTCCTAGTCATAGGTCATGCTCAACCACTAAGCCACACAGGCCAGGCTGCCTTCTAGTTTTTGTGGCTTTTTTGGTTTTTTGTTTTGTTTTGTTTTAATATTTTTTTATTGCTTTCAGAGAGGAAGAGAGAGAGAGAAACAATAATGATGTGAGAGAATAACTGATTGGCTGCCTCCTGCACGCCCCCCACTGGGGACTGAGTCCACAATCCTGAGCATGTGCCCTTAACCGGAATCGAACCTGGGACCCTCTAGTCCACAGGCCGACACTCTAGCCACTGAGCCAAACCAGTTAGGGCTTGTTTTTGTTTTTTTATCTTTATTGTTGAAAGTATTACATCTGTTCCCTTTTTTCCCCCATTGACTCCCTCCAGCCCACCCCCACCCTGCACCCCAGGCCTTCAGCAGCCTATGGTCTGTGTCTATGGGTTATGCATACATGCATACAAGGTCTTTGGTTGATTACCTCCCACTCACCCATCCTCCCCCATTTTCCCTCTAAGATTCCACACACTGTTCCATGCTTCCATGTCTCAGGATCCACTTAGTTCATCAGTTTATTTTGTTATAGACTCCACATATGAGATCATGTGAACTTGGCTTTTTCTGGCTGACTTATTTCACTTAGCATGATATTTTCCAGGTCCCTCCATACTATATCAAAAGGTAAGAGATTCTTCTTTTTACTGATGCATAGTATTCTATGATATAAATGTGCTACAGCTTTTCTATCCACTTGTTTATTGATGGGCACTTGGGCTGTTTCCAGATCTTAGCTATTATAAATTGTGCTGCTATGAACATAAAGGGTGCATACATCATTTCTGATTGGTGTTTCCGGTTTCTTAGGATATGTTTCTAGAAGTGGGATCACTGGGTCAAATGGCATTCCATATTTAATATTTTTTTTAGGAAACCATAGTTTTCCATAATGGTCTGCATTCCCACCAGCAGTGTACTAGGGTTCCTTTTTCCCCCACATCCTCACCAGAACTTGTCGTTTGTTGATGTATTGATGGTAGCCATTCTGACGGGTGTGAAATAATGTCTCATTGTCATTTTAATTTGCATCTCTCTGATGATCAGTGACTGAGCATTTTTTCATGTGTGTCTTGGCCATCTGTATGTCCTCTTTGGAGAAGCGTCTGTTTAGGTCCTTTGCCTATTATTTAATTGGATTGTCTTCCTTTTAAATTGTATGAGTTCCTTATATATTTTTGGATATTATCCTTTATCAGATGCATCATTGCCAAATATATTCTCCCATACAGCAGGCTCCTTTCTCATTTTGTTGGTTTCTTTTGCTATGCAGAAGATTGCTATGTGTATGGCAGCGTTTTCAACCGCTGTTCCGCGGCACACTGTGCCGTAGATGCAGACAAGACAAGAATTTTATAATTTTTCACTATTTTGTTTACTTAATATTTCATAATAAAGTAATTATAAAATACTTTCTTTGTGTTTATTTGATTCCTATTCAAGAGAATTACTTTATATATAGTCAATATAGGCACAGAGTTAAATTTTTTAACATTTTCTAATGGTGGTGTGCCTCGTGATTTTTTTCATGAAACAAGTGTGCCTTTTCCCAAAAAAGGTTGAAAAACACTGGTGTATGGTATTTGTGGTCTAGTTTCAGTTTTTTTGCATGTACCTATCCAATTATCCCAACACCATTTATTGAAGAAACTGTCTTGACTTCGTTGTATACTCTTACCTCCTTTGTCAAATATTGAGTATAATGGCTTGGGTAGATTTCTGGGTTCTCTGTTCTATTCCACTTAACTATATGCCTGTTCTTGTGCCAGTATCAGGGGGCTTTGATTTGGTGGCTTTGTAGTATAGCTGTGATCCCTCCAACTTTGTTCTTCTTTCTCAAGATTGCTGCAGTTATTCAGATTCTTTTTTGGAGTATTTGTTCTAGATCTATGTAATATATTGTTGGTATTTTAATAGGGATTTCATTGAATCTATAGATTGCTTTGGATAGTATGAACATTTTAATGATGTTAATTCTACCAATCCATGAACACAGCATATTCTTCCACTTGTTTATATCTTTTCTTCCAACATTCTGTAGTTTTCTGAGTACAGGTCTTTAACCTCTTATTTAAGTGTATTCCTAAGTGTCTTAATTTTTTTCTTACAGTGGCAAATGGGATTTTCTTTAGTGTCCGTTTTCTGAAAATTCATTATTGGTGTATAAAAATGTCATCAATTTTTGGGTGTTAATTTTGCATCCTGCTACACTGCCAAATTCATCTATTAACCTAGTTTTTTGGTGGAGTCTTTAGAGTTTAGTGTTTTCTGTGTACAATTTCTTGTCATCTACAAACGAGTATTACATTCTCCTTCCCAGTTTGGATGCTTTCTCTTCTTGTCTGATCACTGTGGCTAGGACTTCCAGTGCTATGTGGAGTAAATTCTTACTCTTTATCTACTATTATTACCTATTTTTTACAATGAGAATCTAATTGACACTGTTAATTACAAGAAGCCTGCTTGCAGCTGTTTTAGGATTGCTCTTGCTTTTAAAATGGAGACTCAAATGTTATTGAACTGAGTGCAGACACTGAAAGTGGCTCTGGACTAGACGAGGACACACGGCTCCAGGGGGGGCCGGATGGTCGGAGGGAGGACTGGACAGCAGAGGCAGCCAGAGCCTGGATGGAGAGAACCATGAAAGCGGCCAGGTGGCAGCACTTCTTCTCGCTAACTTTCTTACCAAGACACCTCAAAGGGAATACCACTGCCGGCCCCAGCCTGTCCCCATGCCCAGTCTCTTCTACGTCACCCTGAGCCTCCTAGAGTTTCCATAGGCTGAGGTCACACTTTTTTTTTTTTCTTAATATTTTATTGATTTTTTACAGAGAGGAAGGGAGAGAGAGAGCTAGAAACGTCGATGAGAGAGAAACATCGACCAGCTGCCTCTTGCACACCCCCTACCGGGGATGTGCCCGCAACCAATGTACATGCCCTTGACCGGAATCGAACCTGGGACCTTTCAGTCTGCAGACCGACGCTCTACCACTGAGCCAAACCGGTTTCGGCTGACATCACACCTTCTGCACGTTACCTCAAATTCTCCCACCAGACTTTCCCCAAGAGGCCAGAGCAAATGAGAGGTGGCATGGGAACACATAGCGCCTGTCCCTGACTCCGTGCAGGTGACACTGGACAAGCTTTGTGCCTCCCTGGGACAGGGAGCTCAGACCTGCCCGGGGGGGAGGCTGGGAGCTGGTGAGCCTGGCTATCTGGAAGGTATTTGAAGGAAACAAAAGGCCCTTCAGGATAGTCACACAGGGTGGTTATTTCACTTTATTTAGCACGTGTGGTCTCACTCTGGGCCCACAAACTGCTCCCCGAGGCCTGCCTTGAGGGTCTGCCCTGGGAAGCTCAGGTGAACACGAAGGCCCGGGCTCCACGCTTGGCCTCTGCCACCCGCAGCACAACTCACTGCTCGTGTCCCGGGCGCCACCGTGTGGCTGGGAGGGGTCTCCAATGTTCCAGGCCTCCTACTGGGGCCTCAGCCCAGCTCCGGGCACAGGCCCCTGCTCCTGAGACGCTGGCAGTGGGCCAGGCCTCTGTCCATGGCTGGAGGGACACCAAACCCTTACTCCCAGCCCTGCAGCCTGTCCCTGCTGGGCAAGAAGCAAAATGTATGAAAATACTTTAATTATTTCTTTTAGACGGTTAAGAAATAAGGTCATCTTGTTTTTCTCTTACAATCCCAGTAAAAAAAAAAAGTTCACATTAGTGCAGGGCCAGTGCCAGCCCTCCAGCCGCTCAGTAGAAACGCTTGTTGCGCTCCTGCCGCTTCTGAAAGACCACGGCGCCCACGACGGCACACACGATGATGCCCAGGAGCGCGCACAGCAGCAGCAGGAACACCCGCCACCCCGTCAGGGGCCCGCTGCGGAAGTTCCCCGTCGGGTCGTCCACGTTGTCTGAGGGGAGAGGAAGGGGGAGGTGAGTGAGTGTTAAAGCGGCTGGCAATGGCCCTGGTGAGTCCCATCCCCATCAGGTGGCAGCTGCGGCTGCACACAGCTGTAGTGAGGGGCAAGGGAGTGGGCAGAGGGGCAACGCTGAGAACCCCACAGATCAAGGCCTGGGTGCCTCTCAGCTGATGGACATTGGATCCTGGGCTTCCCAGGAGCCCAGTCTGCCCGGGGAGGCCTGGGATCTGCTTCCACAAGCCCACCCACCCCAGTGCAGTGGTCCGAGGTCCCCTTCTGCAGAAACACTGCCCTGGCCAAACGCCGGCCTGACTCACACCTGAATGCCTTTGGTGACTCCCAGGGGTCCCAGGCCTCCACCCTGTCCTTCTGCTCTGGCCACATCACTACCCTGCCTGCTAACCTTGTCAATGGTGAGCGCCAGGCCTGCAATTCCAACCTCCAGGGACAGGGTTCTCCTCCAGACAGGCACACCGACACCCTCCCTTCCCAAAAGCCCTGACCCGGCAAGCTGCCATCCTGCCACCAGCTGCCTTCCACCCTGCACCCCCTTCCATCCTGCACCACTTTCTACCCTGCACCCCCTTCCACCCTGCACCCCCTTCCACCCTGCACCCCCTTCCACCCTGCACCCCCTTCCACCCTGCACCCCCTTCCACCCTGAACCCCCTTCCACCCTGCACCCCCTTCCACCCTGCACCGTGACAACAATGGCCTCTGACTGGACCGGGAGCTCCATGCAGAGGCACTTCCAGGAAGCAGCCCAGCCTGAGGGCCCCCAGGGCTCCTCAGCCCTCTCTGCCCCCCTCTCCGCTTCAGTCACTAGCCTGAGCCCTGGGGCAGCGCCAGGACACAGCCAGGCACTGAGCGGAAGCTTTGGAATCGCCCACTGAAGGAACAAATGGATGGACACGTGTGAAAAGTTAATCCCCATCTGGTAAACCACATTGGGTTGCTGGGTAATTCAGAGCACATGAGTCCTCCGAGTCCTTGGCAGCCAGAACCCTTCAATCAAAATGGCAAGACAGTAGCTTATGGCAAGGACTGTGACTCTCAAAAGATTTAAAAGTAACCTGAACCTTAAAAAAGTGACATGTCTTCCCTAGCCAGTTTGGCTCAGTGGATAGAGCATTGGCCTGTGGACTGAAGGGTCCTGGGTTCAATTCCAGTCAAGGGCACAGACCGGGTTGTGGGCTCAATCCCCAGTGGGGGGCATGCAGGAGGCAGCCAATCAATGAATCTCTTTCATCACTGATGTTTTTATCTCTCTCCTCACTTCCTCTCTGAAATCAATAAAAATATACACATTTTTCAGTGAGATATCACATAAAATGCTGCGACTCCAGCTCACACACTGCATGACGACTCTGGGCTGGGCTGAGAGGCCGTCGGTGCTTTCCAGACCATTCATGGAGGCCATGCATGTGCACTGTCAATGCCCTGCCAATCACCCACAGCAGACTGGCCCCTGTGGGCTTCCCCCGCCACTACCCAGCAGGCTCCAGGCTCACACACTGCTCGTTAACATGGCTGCAGATCCAAAAGCCCCGGCCACACCCACAGCCAGACCCGGCGAAGGCAGAGGGACCATAAACATACCTTTCGGCGACTTGAAGAAATGGACGCTGGGCTCAATCTTGGTCCAGTCGATGTTCTCCTCCTCAGGGCTGTGCTCCACCATCAGCTGGAACAGCTTCATGGAAATAATGTCGTGGTTGTCTGCAGGGCCAAAGTGGTAGCTTGTCAAAGGCCTGCCACCATGGCTCCTGCGTCTCCCAGCCACATAAGGCGGCCACATTCCTCAGGGAGAAGCCTGCTCCTGCCTGGCTGAGGGCTCAGCCCTGATACATGGTCAGCAATTGCACCTGAGACTTGGGAATGGCCCAGTCCAGGGCTTGACAGTAACTGATCGCCCCATTTCTGAGGTTAGGAAGTTGAGGCTCAGAGCCAATGTAAGGGTCCCATCTGTCAGCTTTGCTAACCTAAGGGAATCTAAGGAAAGGCCTGGAAAGGCAAGACCTAAAGAGCAAGGACCTGGTGGCCAGGTGGGCAGAGCCAAGCAGCACCGTTATGTGCAGCCCCCGGAGGCCCAGGGACACACTGACTGAAGTCAGACTGCAGTTCCCATCTGAGCTCTGCCCTCCCCTCCTGGGGGTAAACCTTGGGGGATTCCTTCAACACTCCTATTCCCAATGGTCTCCGCTGTGTGGACAGGGAGAGACCGCTAGCTGCCTAAGCATGTATCACGTGACTTTATAGGAAGTGTGCAGGTGTTCGGGGCGTAGTGTACAACTTTAAACAAGCGAATCCGGGAAGGCCCCGAGGAGGAAGTGACATCTGGCTTGAAGATGAGAGAGAGACAAGCACAAAGGCCGAGGCAGGAGGGCACTAGTGTGAAGAGCTGGAGGCCATGGAAATGGGGAGCTGGGAGCCAAGAATCAGAGGTGATGGCACTGAGGCCTGGCAGGCCACTGCAGGGCTCTGAGCGGAGCAGCAGTGACGGCTCATGTGAACTTTAATGGGATCACTCTGGCTGCAGAGCTGGGAGTGACCTCTGGGGCTGGCATGGAAGGAGGACCAATTGGGGGCTGCAGTTGTCCGAGTGAGGTAGGATGGTGGCCTGGGTCCTGTTTTTAGCCCGAGCAACTAGGACAGAGGTGTCATTTATGTCTTGGTCTTCAGCCCTAGCCAGTTTGGCTCAGTGGACAGAGCGTCAGCCTGTGGACTGAAGGGTCCCGGATTTGATTCCGGTCTAGTACATATGCCTGGGTTGTGTGCTCGGTCCCCAATGCAGGAGGCATCCAATCAATGATTCTCTCTCATCATCGATGTTTCTATCTCCTTCTCCCTCTCCCTTCCTCTCTGAAATCAATCAAAAATATATATTTTTTAAAAATGTAGTTTTCTCATTGTGAGCATGTAAAGACAGACACCTACTGGGCATCCAGGTGGAGATGTTGAGAGGCTTGTTGTTAACATTGTGCTGCAGATGGAAATCTGGGGTCCAGATACAAATCCTAAAGAGAGGGGAAGATCACCGAGGACTGCTCACAGTGCGTGCGTGCGTGTGTGTGTGTGTGTGTGCGCGCGTGCGCGTGCGCACGCCAAAATGGACAGACAATGCAAAGAGGAGGAAGAAACCAGGCCAGTGTGGAACCAATGCAGGAAGGAAAGTGTCAGGCTGTGTTACAAGCTCCCAACAGACCAGGGAAGGTCAAAACTAAGACTTAACACCCTGCACAGCCCACTCACCAGACAGGTCACCAGTGCCAGCAGAGGCTCCGAAGTAGTAGCCGGTGGGGAGGAGCACACCCGTGATGTCAATGCAATTCTTCCATTGGTTCTTGTCCTCCAAGTCAGTCATCACCTGCAGCCAATCGGCAGGTAAAGCATGCCCCGGGCTCAGACTGCCCACCTACGCCTGCAGAGCCAGCGCAGGCAGAGGACAACCCACACCACCACCTCCTGCTCACCGTCAGACGGCCCCGGGAGTAGCGGACAGCCAGAAAGGTGTCATGATCACTGTTGCGGAAGTCAGCCGTGCAGCCCGCCAGCTCGGTCCAGCGGCCATCCTTACTATGGTCGTAGGACAGGGAGCCATTGTTCACCATCACCGAGATGTACGGGAACACACGCTGAGACCAAGACACCGGTTACTCTATGGCCAGCCCAGCGTTTGGAAGTGGAGGGGTACCACCACCCCAAACTCTGGAGGCTCCTTTGTGCTGGGGCCGGAGGGAAGTCCCTCAGCCCCATGCCTAGCCTTCCTGTCCTGTTCTATGGAGGGAGCAGGGCCTACCTCCGTGGCCTCATCATTGGGATACGTGTCCAGGAAGATGGCTAAACCGTGGAAGTTGTCTTTGCTTCCAAACACAGGCCCTGGAATGAGAAAGAGATGCTCTAGTCATGGAGAAAACTGGGGTTGTACTCTGGGTAGCCTAAAGGACAAAGTATTGCCAGCGGAGGGGGGGTAAGAGATGGTAATCTGTTGGTCTTTCACCCAAGAAAGAGGAGAGACCCCTAAGAAAGAAACCTGGAGGTGGTCTCGGAGATGTGAAGAGAGGACTCAGGTTTGAAGCCTGAACGTGAGGGGACAGCACCTGGCCATGTGCTCAGCAGTATCACTGACAAGACGGTCCCCAGCCTGTGTGTGAAAAGCAAGTGGCTACCAGGAAGCCCTATCCTTAATCCAGGAGTCAGCAACTTGCTGTCCAGGTTGAGAGAAAATATTTTGGGCTTTGTGGGCCACATACAGTCTTAGTCAGTCTTCCTTGCTTTTGCTTTTAAAACATAACCCTTTAAGATGGTAAAAAAAACATTCTTAGCTGGTGTACAGCACCCAGCCCCTCCTCAAAGGTCCCAGGTTTCCTCAGAGAAGAGCGCGGCGCGGAGAGTCCTGGCACAGATGCTCCCACACACGAGTGCAGCCCTACCTTGCACAAGACGGTCCCGAGTGTACCACAAGGCAATGCCGTCTCCATGGAGATTCTTCTTCCCAGCACCGTGGACTTTGAAGTGGACATGCATCTCCCAGTCTTTGAGGAAGCAAGGCTGGAGGGAGAGGAGAGGGTTGCTCTGAATTCTCTGGAGCTGCCACCTTCCTGCCAGCTGGAGGTGGCCTGGCCCAGACCCTGACCCACTGAGACTAGGCACTCCTTTGTCAAAGAGCACCACTGACCAACAGACCCTCTAGCTTTCTCAGCAGGAAGACCCTCCCAGCCCAGCACCAGTCTTCTCCACTTGAATTCACTTTCCTCAAAACCAGCCAAACCTGTCAACCCTGTTCTCTCTCCATCCCCACTGCTCTAGCCCTGGGATCTTGTGAAAGGATCTGTTTGAGCGACACAGTTTACAAAACAGAAAACACATTCAGAGACAAAATAACTTGTGCAGGGAGTGTGCAGGTGCCAGTGGACAGTCTTGAAAAACACCAAGGTCTGTCTGACGCAGAAACTGCGCTCTGTCATCTATACCGCCCATGGCTCTCAGGTCTTCAACACAAACTGCCTCAGGTCCTTTCCAGCCTCCCACGCCCACGTCTTCCCTTCTAATCCACCTTCCAAACTGAGGGACTCAAATCCAGGTCTGGCTGACTCCAAACCTCAAGCTCTTGGCCAGCATACCTCTGGACCCCTACAGCCCCAGTCTGACCCCAGTGTGGAGTCTGAAAGGGTCATGCCCTGGAGCCTCTGGGCTACCATGATCTGAGGGAAGGTAGGTGCTCCCTGGCATTCAGGAACACCAGGTGCAGAGCTGGCACTGCTGCAGCAAGGAAAACAGCCTGGCCTTACACACCAGGAAGTTACTCATGAAGACTAGTGTGACACATACTTTGTCAAGAATCCACGAAAGGGAAGTCTGCAGATGATTGTGTGAGCAAGTGATTAACAAAGCCCCATCAGACAGGCAAATGGAAACAAGATATTGTTGACGCATCAGATTGGCAACTATTAAAAAGATCAATAATACCCCTGCGGATGAGGATGGAAAGAAACACACTCAACCAGCAGGACTGTGAATGTTCCCTCCGTCGTCTTGGGGCAATCTGGCAGTCTTTGGCAGGATGAGGCAGAGCCACAGCACTTACATTTAATGATATCAAAGACACCACTGCAAAACAGTATCAATGCTGTGTTCCCAATTTTGAAAAAGAAAACAATTAGTATATGTGTAGAGAAAGAAAAAAATGAAAGGAATATGAACCAACAATAACAACAGGTGACTCTGGGAGGGGAACTACTTTCTATGTTTGAATTTTGTATAATGAATGTATTACCTATGTAATCAGAAAAAAAACCTCAAATAAAAAATAAAGACCTTTATGTCCCATCATGGCGAACTGTTGTTCATTCATGAAGTCGTCAGACTCTGTTCTGGCTCTCGGCATCAAACCGCAGGAGATGCGGCCCTGCCCCGCCTCTGAGACACAGCTAGCAAATGCCACGAGTAAGGAGCAATCAGCCTCCCTGTTCTTTACAGCTCACTGGCTCTGAGAAAACCTGCACAGTCCAGGGGAGCAAATGAAGGTGATGAGAACCAACTCTCAAGGACAGACGGACAAGGAATGAGTCCACAGCTGCTGAGGGAGTGGCAGTTCTGATTAGCTAACCTTGCTTTGGTTTGGGACCACAGACAGTAAGCCCAGACTAAGAGTGAACCAAAAAGGCCCTCCCAGGAACGATAACTCAGCTGAGTCATGTCAATCCCTGAGATTAGATTAAAGAGACTCATCTAATCCTCAGATTAAAAAAAAAAAAATCTTACAAATACAGTATCTAGTACACAATAAAAAATACCAGACACATGAAAAGACAAGATATGAACAAAAACCAGAAGGAGAAGAAAGGGAAGGAGAAAGGTAGGAGGCTGACAGGAATTCCAGATATTGGCCTTTAAAATAACTAGTTTACTATGTTCAAGGAGATACAAGACAAGATTGAGAATTTGGTAGATAATGAACATTTTTTAAAGTCATACTATAAAAAATTCCAGGCGCAGCCAGCATAGCTCAGTAGCTTGAGTGTCGACCTATGAACCATAAAGTCACAGTTCGATTCCCAGGCACATCCCCAGGTTGTGGGCTCAATCCCCAGTATGGGGCCTGCAGGAAAAATCTCATCATTGATGTTTCTCTCTCCCTCTCTTCTCTAAAATCATTAAGAATGTATTTTTCAAATTCCAGAACAAAAAAATACAATAAATTAACAATGTAATGAATAGGTTTACAATAGATTTAAAATAGATGAAGAGAGAATAAAAGCATGGCAGACACAAAACACTAGGTACGAGGCAGAGGAAAGAGTGAGAAAATATAATTGGAGTTTCAGAATGATTAGCAAAAGAATAAAGAAAAATTTAAAGAGACATCTAAGCACTTATCAATAAAACTGACTCTGACACTGTGCCACAAATCTTAAGTCTTACAACCAGAGATTTTAAAAAAAACCAACAAATCAAAAGCATTAAAAAATAAATAAATAAATAAAAACACACACACACAAAAAAAACAAAAACAAAGAAAAGGAATGGATATCAAGTTGCAATATTTCCATTCCGCTGAATACATTTAAGGGTACTGAACAGTTTTAACTTAAAATGGCATTATTTAAAGTATGCTGGAAACTAGATCCTTTGCATATATTTAAACCTGTGTCAACTTTTAAAATATATATATTTTTTATTGATTTCAGAAAGGAAGAGGGACAGAGAGAGAGAGAGAGAGAGAAACATTAATGATGAGAATCATTGATCGGCTGCCTCCTGCACACTGCTTACCGGGGATCCAGACTGAAACCTGGGCATGTCTCTGACCAGGAATTGAACTGTGACCTCTTGGTTCACAAGTGGATGCTCAACCACTGAGCCACACCAGCCAGGCCCTATATCAACTTTTTAAAAGTGAAGGGGTCATACACTTTCAGACAGTACATCAGCAAAAATAACACCAAGACCATGCTGCAGCCTCCACACAAGACGCCCCTCAGGATGGGCCTGGCCAGTCCCCCAGGCTTCCCTGTCTTGTTCTCCAGCCATGAGGCACTTGGAGTTCTAGTCACCACTGGGCCACTCCTTCATCCGGACCAGTTCACCCCAACACCCTAACAGACACTGTCTTATCTCTGCTCAGAAGACAGCTGGTATTTGGTAGTGTTTGCTAATTTGCTGCTCCTCCCAAATGGAGTAAATGGGGACAAAAACAGAAAAGTCTAGAAAACACCTCTCTAGCTCAGTAAAAGAATAGTTGGCTCTTGGTAAACACTGGGCAGAAAATTTTAAGAGTTCTAAGCAGTTTCTTTCAGTAACTATAGGAAACACTCCAATCCTTTGGGAATATCTGTAGCGCCAAACAGCAGGAGCTGAATGGGAAGGAAGACTGAAAATTTGATGAAGGCAAGTGCAAAATCCTGTCAGCCCAATGACATTGCCATACCACTGACAATGGCAACCACCAACCTACCTACAATCATAATTAAGTTACTTGTGACTGAACCCAATTTCCAACAGTTCCAGCACTATTTGTACCTTACTTACACACACACACACACACACACACACACACACACACACACAAAACAAAAACAACCTTAATGTTATACTGAATTCATTTCTGGAAAACTTAAGGCTACATTAACATTTTTAATTGACAAAATGTGACTCAGCGGAGTTTCTGAAATACTCTTGAGTGGATGGCACTCAGATGAGAAGGAAGCAAGCAGGCATGAGAGCCAGAAGGCAGTGTCCCAGACAGAGGGGACAACAAGTGCAAAGGTCTTGAGGCAAGAAGCAACCAGAGAGGCTAGAACAACATTAACAAAGCAAATAACTGGCAATGCCAGGTACCAGGAGCCAGAATGTGTTCACTAATGCATGTTTATCCCCCTTCACAGGAGACCCAAGGCTCCAAGGATCAGACTGAGAGCTGAGGAAGGTAACCCCACATGTTCTTAGCAGTTAGGGAGAGGACACGATGAGGGAACAGCCAGATGAGGCAACATGAAGACAGTGTGGACTCCCAGAACTAAATGGGACGTCAACCAGGGAGAAAACAAGGACAATGACCAACACCTTGGGCAGAGGAAGGGTTGGGGTCAGACAGGCTGAGGCAAGAGCAGATTCTACCCTGAGCTGTGATCCAGCCCAAATGGTGGGACGAATGGAAGGAACGGGATCTTTTTTGGGCATTTTGCTGCGTGTTATGCACTGACTTTAACATGCCTTATTGCATTTAATCCTCAAAATAGGAGGGTTCAATTCGGACAACATGACAGCTCCACTTAAACTGAGTCGTAGCTTCTTAGTAAAATGGAAATAACATCACATACTTCACAGGGGCTTTAAAGGAATTAAGTGAGAAGGGTGTAAAGTGTCAAGCACAGTTCGTGATAACACAGTAACTACACCAGCCATTACAGATTATTACTGTGACTAAAATGAGGAAGGGGCGGACGAGGGAGGGGCAAGCCTTCAAACCAATCTGAGGTCTGCGCTGCAGCAGAGGCTGGGAGTCGTGGCATACTCAGGGCCAAGCCTGGCCTCTGGGGACCCACTCACCTGGTGGTTCCAGATGGAGCCCTCTTTGCTGCGCTCATCGGGAGTCAGGCGCACGTACTGGCTGGTGAGGATAGTGCTGCCCTGGAAGTCCCAGAGGGGCATGGAGCTGGAACCGACACCTGTGGGCAGTGATGGGCACAGACAGGCGCGTAAAAGGCCATGCCAGGCCTGGCCTCGCCAGAGGCAGGAAATCCACAGAACCGCCCTGCTCGGAAGAAAGGGCCACCCTTTTCCCAGCCCCGTGCGGCCTCGACCTCACCCTGAACTCATTTCCCGCCTCAGGCCTCACCTTGGTAGGGCTTGATAAGCGAATGCTCCCGCTTGAGGTGTTCACTGTTGCCGTCAGTTATGTCCGCAGCCACCGGCCCCAGCAACAGAAGGAGAAGTAGATGTGTCATGGGGCCAGGGCCGGGGCCGGGAAGCCCAGGCCTCCCCGGGCACCGCCGGCCCCAGCCCCTGCGCCAAATCCAACCTTCCGCCGCCATTCTCCGTTTCTCTCCGCCACTTCCGCTAGGGGACTTCCGTCTTCCGGGTGTCTCATCGAATAGCTTCCGGCCGGAAACCTTCCAACGTCTGTCACCGGGCGTTAAATACAAAGCCTCTCAGCCTAGGGGACGGCGACTTTATTTGCTGAGCAGACCCCATCCAGGTCAAGTGCAGTTCCATAGCCTCGGCCGCTCCGACGTACCGGTCGCCCAGTCTCGGCAACGGGCTCTTACGAGCCACAGCCAATCATGGATCAGCACGTTAGGATTGTGAGCAAATGGAGAGCAGAGGAATGGTTTAGTCGGGGGCGGAACCAAGGTCGTCCTCGAAGCGCGGCATGCTGGAACTTGTAGTTCTGGTGGGCCACTCGCGTGGACTGAACGAACGAAGAATACAACGCTCTAGGCCTTTGGCCTCTGACCGCGTCTCTGGAGTAATATTTCCCATTCCGAGGGTTAAGGATCTCTAATTTGAAGGCAGATGCCTAAATTCCAACCGCCGTGCCACCTCGGACTCCCTGGGTGATCTCGGATGAGCTTTAGCTGGCTCTGGCTTCACCCGCTGCAGCTTCACGCCTTTGAAGACTTAGAATTACCAGTGATTTGAAGTCATCCACTTCTCCCAGGTCCTCAGGCCCATTGGGTTTAAGCAGGACGGCAGACCTGTACCCTGCCCCGGATCCCAGTGATGGCTGGGACGCATACAGATCCAAGTGGTCACAGTGCTTGCCAGCTGCAGCAAGAAGTGTCCATGAGCCCCAGCTGCTTTGGCTCAGTGAATAGAGAGCTTCAGCCTGTGGACTAAAGTGTCCGAGTTTCATCCCATCAAAGGCACATGCCCGGGTTGCTCCATCCCCAGCAGGGGGTGTGCAGGAGGCAACCAATCAGTGGTTCTCTCTCTCTTTCTCCCCTCTCCCTTCCTCTCTGAGATAAATAAAAATATATATTTTAAAAACAAAATAAATTATTTAACCTCCAATATATTTAAATGAGGACTCTTAAATTCACATTATAAATCCAAATTTTCAGTTTCTTAGGAAAAATTGGGAGATCCAACCAAGATAAGCCCACAGGCTGCCCCCTAAAATGCTGTCCTCTTCGAAGTTAGTCTCCAGGCTAATTGACCCCACCTGTCTGGTCCCTCTGGGCATTTAAATTAAACACCCGTGTTATAGATCACAGCATGGGACCTGGGTTGGTTGCTCCTTTATTTTATTTTAAGAAGCTTCCCTTTTGCCGAGACCGGTTTGGCTCAATGGATAGAGCGTCGCTTGGGGACTGAGGGGACCCGGGTTCGATTCCGGTCAAGGGCATGTACCTTGGTTGCAGGCATATCCCCAGTAGGGGGTGTGCAGGAGGTGGCTGATCGATGACTCTCTCTCATCAATGTTTCTGAATCTCTCTCTTCCTCTCTGTACAAAATCAATAAAATATAATAAAATAAAAAAAACTTGGTGTAAAAAAAAAAAAAGCTTCCCTTTTGAATGAATTAACTTATTCAGGATTAACTGATGAGACATCTTTACCGGCTCATGTATTTTTAATGAGTCAGACATGTACAATAAGGGTCTCCTGCCACTCCTCTCCCACGGGTTATACCCTTCCAGAGGTTTACTTATGTCCATACAAACAAGGACATGTACATTCCACTAGACTTCCATGAGGCTGGGATGTTTGTTAGCTATGGTCACTACTGAATCCCCAGCAACTAGAACGGTGCTTAGCATATAGGAGGTGATCAGGGGAAAGGCATCTTCAACAGAGGGAACAGGAAATGCAAAGTCAGGGAAGGTCCCCTGAAAGGATAAGGAATGCAAGCAGTCTGGAATGGCTGGAGAGTGGTGTGCAAGAGTTTGGTTGAGGTCGGAACTCTCAGCTAAGGAACATGACCTTTTTCCAGAAGGCAATGGGGTGGTTTTAAGCATGGGAGTGACCAATGTGGGGTTTTCTCGCTATGGTGATGAGAAGAGACTGGAGCCAGATAACAGGTAGGGAGATTGAATAGGAGGTCACTAGGACCAGATGCGGGAGGGCAAGGCCTGGGCCAGGGAAGTCTCCATAGGAAAGGGGATCAGAAGTGCCATAGGAAGACTGGACATCAGTAACTGATCCCCTTTGGGAAGCCAGAGAGAGAGAAGTTGAGAATAGTATTCTGTGGAATGGAGTCCCACACATACCTATGGAGGGGAGAACAGTAGATAAGGCTGCCTGGGGCCCCTGAGGTGAATATGTGGTCAGAGTTAAGACTGGCATCCGTGATGAAGAGGGAGGGAGAGGTGTCTTAGTAGTGGGAGAGGATGACCTTAGGAAGGGGTCCCAGGCAGAGCCTGTGATTGGGCCTTTGGGGGAAGGAAGATGAACTGTTGGCACTTGGACTGATGGTGGCCCAGGCCCAACTCCTGGCACCCAGGCACAAATGTTCACAGCTTAGCATATCTCTAACTTGATGCCAACCCTTGGGCAACTCACATCTCTCAGAGTCTTAGTTCCATGATCACTACAGTGGGAATAGTGAAATCCACTCACAAAGAGGTGGTGAGGATCAAATGAGGTCAGGATGGGAGAAAACCCTGTAAATCGTAAAGCCCCCTCTGAAACCCAGGCCCAGACCCATCATGGCACAGCAGACAGACAGTGTGTGATGTCCACTCACATCACACACTCCACACCCCCTCAGAGGCACATTTACACTCCTTATTAAACCCGCCACGGGCAATGCTCCAGGCTTCCCCAATAAAAGTCCCATATACACACTGAGTCTGAATGAATCTCTCTGTCTTGGTGGCCTGGAGCAAGGTGTGTGGAAGGAGATAAGAGTCAGGGGTGATTTAACTAGGGTAATGCTAGCTGCTGTAACAAATAGACCCTAATGTGTGTAATGGCTCACAGTTTATTTCTGCTCATATGTAACAGTCCAAGACTGCTGTTTCTGGTTGATGAGGGGCTTGCCTTTGGGCACTAATGCATAGACCCATGTTTCTTCCTTCTTGTGTCTCCACAATCCCCTGGAGCCTCATCATCTTTCGTATCCAGCCAACTAAAGGGAAAAGAGAGTGTGGAGAGCAAGTACTACTTCAAAGCCTTGGTCCAGAAACAGCACACATCATTCCACTCATATTCAATTGGTGGGAACTAGTCACGTGGCCACCATACCTTACAGCAAGGGAGCCTGGGAAGTTAAAGTTTAGCCATGTTTCCAGGAAGTAAAGAACGTGAATTTGTGGTAAAGACTTAGTTTCTGCCACCGAAGGTTTCAGGCCACCTGTCTAGAAAGGGGCAGGGTATTGAGGGTAGAATATGAAAAAGGGGGTGTCATTTTTTCCTTCAGAGAGAGGGGTCCAAACCGGAGTAATGGGTGACTTAAAGGCTCTAAGTCCACACTTAAAGTAGTGGGTGCATGCATGTTCAAGAAAGAGGCAAAGCGAGGATTCTGTCTAAAGGGTCCGAGTTCATCTGGAACAGGGCCAGGCTGAGAGGGCAGGGTGGCACTCTTCAGTTGGCAGGGCTCTACCGAGGTGAGTGGGATTTGTATGTGAGCAAGGTGAATGTGACTGCACGTGTGTCTTTGAGCATAGGTGCACCTGATCCATGTCCCTGCCCAGATGGGCGAGCGTGGGCTTGCACATGCCTATGTGCACGTGTGCCGGTCACATGTACCTGTCCACAGGTACCTGTCCATATGTGCATACATAGGACTGAACACCAGGTGGTCCTTATGAGGGAGAGCCTGTGTGCTTATAGACAGGCACACCTGGATGACCTGTATGTGCATGACCAAGCATGCAAGGTGCCCATCTGTCTGCACAATCAGGCACCTGCCTGAGAAGTGTCTGGGCACAGCTGCCTGGAGGAGGTGTGCTGAATGTGCACAAGCCCAGCACACCGCAGGTGTGAGATAAGTGTGTGCTGGGTAAAGTCCACATGTGGATACACGGTGAACATGTGCACAAGCCCATGGAAGCCCCTGCCAGGGTGTCCAGAGCCTGCACTTCTGTGTGGCTAGGCATGGCCGTGGGGCTCCCCGGGCAGGACCAGACCAGGCTGAGCTCCTCTCTGGGCACACAGAAGCTTCTGTGTATTGGTGCCTGTGTGGGGCGCTGCAAGGCTGTGTTGGTGGCATGTGTGAGAGCACGTGTGTGTGTGTGTGTGTGTGTGTGTGTGTGTGTGTGTGTGTAGGAAGAGGCTGTTCACTCTCTTAGACCTTGCTTTTTTTTCTGTGGTTCCGTTTCTATAGAGACACTTCCTGTGGCAGAGAAAAGAGGTAGTGAGCTGGTCTTTCAGGATGTGAGGGCCCACAGGAGCGGAGCTGGGCTCTCTCCGCCGCCTGCCTGCCGCCCTGCCAGCTCTGCCTGCGGCGCTGCCCACAGTCCCCATGGTGGGTCCCCCCCGAGGCGGGGACCCGTGAACAGCAGAGGCATGCCAGGGAAGCCCAAGCACCTGGGCGTCCCCAACGGACGCATGGTGAGTGTAGGCTCCGGGCCAGGCTCTTGGGGAGGGGAGGGCACACCCAGGGTGGAGCCCAGGAGCTCACCGGGCAGGGCTGGGCAAGAAGAGCTGCAGGCTGCTTGTGGGTGGAAAAAGTTGGGTACAGATAGCAGGTGTTTGGACCTGGTGCCCTCACCCAGCACCTTCCAGACTGGCCTGCTGGGGACCTGGTCACAGGCTCTGGGTCCAGCCCCTACTGCTCCCTCTCCTGCTGCTTTGGCACCATCTGGAGCTGCCTGCATCCTAGGGTAGCAGGGACACATGGCACCCCCTTGGCCCCTGCACACCCCATGATGGCCCAAGCCCCCACACCTCATTTAGCCCCAGCCCTCCTCTCTGCACCCCGTGTTCTGATGCCAAAGGTCAAGTAAGGGGCAGCCGGCACTGGGCCACTGCCTGCAGCCGGACCTATTCCAGAGGCTTCCTGCCGGCACTGGCAGTCCTTGGGCAGCCTGGCATGGGTGCAGCTCGTCTGTTCTATCCCGGGGCTCCCGGGAAGGGGAGAGGTAGCCGGGCTGTAGGATGCCCTGGCTGTTGCTGCTGCCCCACCCCCTAAACCCTCTCCCTGGCTAGGTGGCCTCTGGGTCAGAGCCGCCCTTGAAGGTCCAGCTTCTTTATTCCTGCAGCCGATGGGGCAGCCTGTGCTGGGCCTCCCTTCTCTCCTAGATCACCAGCCCACTTGGCAGATCCCTCGTCCCCCCAACAACTCCAGAAAGGCCTGCCTGTGGCCTCGCCCCTTCCCAGGCCTCAGCCTCGTATTACGGAACAAAGCCATTGGGTCTGGAAACCTGGGTTCCATTCTGTCATACCAGGGGGTCCCCACTGACCCTCTGTTTCTTCATCTGTAACATGAGAATAGAGCAGATATCGAAGGCTTATTGAGATGATTAATAAGGTGAACATGAGGCCCGGACCCATTAGGGGGCTCCATAAACGTCAGCCCAACCCCACCCCTTCCTCACCAGCCCCTCCTCAAGGATCCCCCCCTCATCAGGAAACTGAGCCACCCCCAAGCACACTGCTGCCTCCTAACTCTCAAGATCTGTTTCCATCGCTCCTTCTTCCAGCATCTGTTTATCGTCCAGCCCCGGGCTGGCTGTGAGGGAGATCCCTCTACGTTAGCCCAGTCGTCCACCTCACTGTTTCCACCCTCGAGCTTAATGGAAGTTCAAGAACCCCTGGGCCTCCCACTCCTGCCCTGGAGGCACTACACTGGGGTGTCCAGACCAAGGGGGGACCATGCCCACTCCCATGCCCACCCCAGCCGGTGGCTGCGGAGCCCGGAGACAGACTTTACCTCTACCCTTCCCTCATCAACGACGTCTGCTCTGCCCAAAGTCATCGAGAGCGAGGAGGGCACTCACGCTGAGCGCCCGGCCTCAGCAAGCCACAGGCTTTCCTCTCAGCCGCTGGCACACGCGTTTATCTCTGCCCTTCCTGGGCCTGTTCTGAGTGTTCTGTGCCACCTTGGGAGTCCCGAGGGCCACACACTGCCCACTTGCGGGTCATCGAGAGCTTTCTGAGGCCACGTTCAGCTAAAACAGGGAGAGGCAGGCACGCAGTGGCATCTGCAGCAGGGATGAGCATAGAGAGGCACCTGTGAGCTGGGTATCTGGCTCCTTCCATGACTTACCTCCAGACAGAGGCCCAGAGGAGTAAATGACTTGCTGAGGGCAGCGGGCGGGCAGAAGGGCCTGCATTTGAACCCTGCTAGTCTGACTCAATGCCAGGGCTCCTTTGCCTCCCCGAACTGCTTGGCTCTGTCCTCCCCCTCCTTCCCCAGCTGCCACCCCACTCGCCATCACTCCCTGCAGAGGCAATTTCACCCGTCAGCCTTGTCTGCCTGCCACTCAGCACGTCAGGCAACTGCAAGGAAACCTGTCACTTAGAGATGACTCTCAGCCCTCTTCCCAGAGATGTCTTCACACAGCCTCACACAGCTCCCACCGCCACTTCGTCTGTTCTCCCCTTCATTCAACCCCTCCCCTGGGCCTGCTCCGTGCCACCCCTGCCCCGGGCGCTCAGGACCCAGGCCCATCATCCTGTCCCCTGCCCTCAAGGAGCTCCCCGTCTGGCAAGACACAAAAGACGTGAGCACAGACACCAGGTTTGGGGAAGGGCACTGGTCAGGGATAGAGAAGGTGAGAGGGGGCCTGGGGAGGGAGAGCTGACCTCTCCCCTCCCGGGGTGCGCTGTGGCATGGAAGGCATTTTAAAGGGATGTGCCCGCTGGCGGAGGGCATGGCCTGAGGAAGGCCCAGATGTGGGAAGCACTGGGGAGTGGTGGCTATTGTGTCTGTCAGTCTCAGAGGCCTGGTTAACCGTCCCCACCCTACAAGGAGACCTGCGAGGCACAGCCCACGCTCCCTCTGGACCATCCATCTCAGGGCCAGGCCCTGAGTGACAGGTGGCCTTGCCGAGGGGCCAAGTCTGGGGCCAGCTCCACAGGGCTGCCTCAGGCGGAGGGCCAGGCCCCCAGGGTTCTCTGTGGGTATCTCTGGACCTCTGTTTCCCCAAGTCAGAATGGCATGAGATGACGGTACAGAGTGCCCAGCACAGAGGACACTCAGTAAACTGACCCTCCCTTTGAGGTCTGACCTCTCCAGGGGTCAGGGTTCATAAGGAGCCACTAGGCTCTATACTCCCACTTGACCTTGCCTACCTGTGGCCCAAGGGCTGAGGCCCTGGGCCTCCAGCTCCCCTGGGCCGTCTCCTTTCCATCCTAGGAGGCAACTTAGCGGAGGGGAGACCTCAGACTCCAGAGTCAGGCTCGGCCACCTCGCAGCCACGTGACTTCTGGGGCCGAGGTTTCCTCACCTGGGAGATGGGAGTAATAATTGCTGCCGCACAGGATCAGGATGAGAGGATGGCGTGAGAGCAAGGACACGGGCTGTCAGAGAGTGCCTGTCACACATGGGAGCTCAGGAAATGGGGCCACCCTCACCTCAGTGTTCTCAAGGTCCGTTCCCTAAAAACAGTGTGGCACACTGAGGCCCGACCTGGGCTGGGGATGCTACTGGCCACCACACCCTTCCTCAACCTCTCTTCCCCTTTTCTCCCCATCCACTCACCACTTCTCCTCAGGCAGGCCGGGTGGGGCCGGGGCAGCCCTGCTCAGCGCCATTTCCCCAGGCCTGGGAGCCTGGGCAGGTGGGAGCCGGGGCGTCCACATGTCAGCGGAGCCCTGACCACCACAGGCCGGCGGCTTTCACATACGCCCCAGCAGGTTGGGAGTGCTGAGCCACACGCTACCCAGGGGGAAGTTACTTGCCCCAAAATAGTGGAACTGGAACTGGATTCCATCTCCGTCCCTTCCCACCTTTGCATCTCGACCTCAACCACAAAGTTCAGCAACCAGAAGGGCAGGAGGGGTTCAGGAAGGTGAACTGCAGGCTTCAGAGATGGGGTGTTCATGGTGGAGCATCCCTGGTTGGGGGGGAGGGGTGCTGGGGCCACCTGGGGGCAGAGGAGGGCTACTTGGGAGCACTGGGTCTTTGTGGAATGGGGTTCAGGTTGGTTCCCTCCTACAACCCAGGCCTGCGCCCCGGATGCTACCAGGCTGATAAGGGAGAGAGGCCCAGGATGGGTGGTAGAACCTGGGTGGCAGGGGGTCCGGGCAGCTGGTATTTGGGGAGGACTGATGTCAGTGGGCAGAGATTGGAGACCTGTTGGGTAGGGGAGCAGGAGAAAATACCAGGCAGAGGAAAGAGCAAAGTGGGAAGCAGGAGTCTGCAGGGGTGAGGGGGAAGGTTTGGTAAAGTGCGGGGTGGAGGTGAGGGAGGGGAAAGAGGGAGGCTGAGGGGGTCAATTCCCCAGGCCCAGGCATGGCTTCAGCTGTAACTCAGCACCGGCTCAGCCTCCCAGGGCAGGGAGTGGGGCCTGCGGAGGACCTGGGAGCCGGCTCCACCTAAAGACACAGAAAACCAATGCGACCCAGTGCAAAGGAGCAAAGGAAGCAAGAGTGAGGGCTGGCTCCGGCGTGGGAACCTTTGCCCTCTCTGAGGCCCTGGCCTGGCCCCTGCAGTCACGGGGGCTCTGCCCAGGCTGGAGGGCAGGCCAGAGGAGGCCAGTAGATACCGAGAAAGGCAGGACCACGTGGCACCCCGGGAGGGGTGGGGGGGTCAGGGTGGTGCCCAGAGACCTGCAGGAGGCTCTGGCCATGACCACGAGGCTGGAGAGCAGCCCAGGCAGGCAGGTGCCAGGAAGGGAAGGAGCAGGCTGGGAGGGACCTGTGGGCTTCACAATCCCAGCAGCTCGGACTTTCTCCTGCTGCTGCAGCGATGACTCAGATGAAACCGTTAGATGGGATGGAGCAGAGGCAGGGGTGAGGGCTGGGCGGGGTGCCCTGGGAAAGGATTCCAGGCCCAGCCATGCCCTGCGGAACCTTTCCCCGCTCCGCAATATCTGATCCTGGTGCTCCTGGTGGGAAAGGAGGCTCCGGGAGGAGACCAGGGCTATGAAACTAGAAAAGGGCAGGGCCGGGCTTCGATCTGCGCTCTCTCCTCTACACAGGGCTCACACACTTGAAAGTGGGAGCAGGTTCAGACACCAAGACTAATACAACCACAACAATAATGTTGTCAATATTATCTACATATGCCAGATAGTGTCCTGCGTTCTTTATATATTGATATATTTAGCTTATTTAATCACAGCAACCCTTTGAAGTCAGGGCCTTTATGTGCTCCATTTGTATAAAAGAAGAAACTGAGGCACCGAGAGGCGAGGCACCCTGTCCAAGTCACATAGCACAGACTTACACTCACACAGGCTGGGGCAGCACCTGCTTCCATAAGCAACATCAGCACATCAAACCGGCCCAGGGGCCCGGGGAGAGCCTGAGCTCCTTCTCTTATTGATTTCAGAGAGGGAGAGGGAAAGGAAGATAGAAACATCAACGATGAGAATCACTGATAGGCTGCCTCCTGCACGCACCCTATTGGGGACTGAGCATGCAACCCCGGCAAGCGCCCTTGGCTGGGATCCAAACCAGGACCCTTCAGTCCGCAGGCTGACACTCTATCCGCTGAACCAAATGGGTTGTGTGTGTTTTTGACTCTGGCTGCGGCTCAGTGCCAGCCATGCTGGAAGGACTCAGGGTAGCTGGGGCATTACAGTCTTAAAGGGGAGATAGATAGCTGGGGTTTTCGGTAAAACTCCCGATTTTTAAAATATTTTTATTGATTTGGGAGAAGGAGAGGGGGAGAGAGAGACATTAATTGACTGCCTCCTGCATGCTCCCTACAGGGGATGGATCCCCAAACCCAGATATGTGTCCTGACCAGGAATTGAATCGGCAACCTTTCTGTGCACAGGAGGACACCCAACCACCTGAGCCACCTTGGCCAGGCAAAACTCCTGATTTTTAAATGTGAGAAACCGCTTCAAACCTAAAAGAAAAAGAAAAAAAACACACACAACATTTTGAGGACTAAGATATCAGTAATGTCCTATGTCTGCAGGCCAGCTCTGTGACTGAGCGCTCGGGTTCCCTGGGGCAGAGAGGGAGACTGCAGCCAGAGAGGGAGGCGGGGGGCTGCCCGGGGGAGGGGGCTTTGCAGACTAGTTTCCAGTGGGATGGAAAGGAGGCACAGGTGGTGGGAGCTCCTGTGTCAGGGCCTCGTGAAAATGTAGGAGGTGAGAGGGTAGGGAAATTGGGGATGACTCAAGCCCTGATGTTGGGAGCTCAGGTGATGAGAAGGCAGGATGCAGGGTAACTGGTTGGGTGTCCTGCTGTGCTGGTGGCAGAGGTGGCTTCCATTTGGGCCTGGACGAATTTGAAGCGCGTGTGGGACATTGGGCGGAGATGTTAGCAGGAGCTGGGGATACGTGGATGAAGAAAGGGCCCAGCACAGAGTGAGGGAGAGGTAGCGGCCACGTTTTGTGGGTACAAGATGACGAGGAAGCTGGAGGAGCTGCTGGGAAGGTAGGAGGACCACACTAGAAAGGAAGGTTTTCCTGTTCCACTAATGACTGGATTCCCAGAGCAGTTGGAGTTGTGTGTGGAGGGGAGGACGGGGAGGAAGTTGGTCTCTACAGCAATGCTATTCAGAGTGGGGTCCATGGACCAGCAGTGTCCGCACCACCCAGGAGCTCGCTGGCAATGGCCCCATCCTGGACCCACTGACCTTGAATCTCTGGAGGTGGAGCCCTCTGGTCTCTCCACTGAGGACCACTGCTCTGCTCTGTGAAGTAGTTTCCCGTGTCCTGCCCAAGGTGGGTAGGACACAAGGAGACCCTGACCCCCAAGAGGAAGCAGTTGCTGTAAGGAGATCCTCAGCTTTAGAGGCGCCTCTCCTTCCTCAGAGACAACATTGACCCAGCCCCAAATGCTGGCCACTGTGCCCGGTGCTGCAAATACTTTACCCCGATTTGATCCTTACAGCAGCCCCAGGAAGTGAGTTACTATTATTATTATTATTATTATTATCATCATCATCATCATCCCCTATGAGCAGATGCAGACAAACGAGTAACTTGCCCAAAGGCATACCGCTAGCAAGGCAGAGACAGGATTCAAAGTCTACCCACCATGCTGTATGCCTGGGCTTACCCAGCAGGCGCTGGAGGGAGCCAGGGCGACTGGAGGACACCAGCACACGGGGAAGGGCACGTGATGGAGGGACCTGGGGACAGCCTAAGCAAAGCCTTCACAAGCAGGGGGCTGGCTGGCAAGGCCCAGCACGGTCCTCCAGGCAGAAGAGAGCACAGCTCCAGTCTGGGGACTGGCCCCAGGACTGTTCTTTGAGAATCCACCCTGGGCTGCACTCTGATTTTCTACCTCGGATCTCTTGTAGGTTTTGGCTGTCTCCGATGGAGGTAAGCGACAGGACACGTGGAGGAAGCCTGGCTGGGGGTGGGGTGGGGCGTATGTGAAAACGGGGTGGGATACCCCTGCCACTTGCACCCTTTTCTGGGGAAAGTATCTGCAGATGGGGTAGGGCCAACGGGAAGGCTGCCAAGCTCACGCCCACTTGTCCACCCCCCCCCCGCCCCCCTGCCCGCAGAGCTGAGCAGCACCGTGGGACCCCAGGAGCAGAGCGAGGGCCGAGGCAGCTCCCTCAGCGTCCACAGCCTCCCCAGTGGCCCCAGCAGCCCCTTCCCCGCGGAGGAGCAGCCTGTGGCCAGCTGGGGCCTGTCCTTCGAGCGGCTGCTGCAGGACCCGCTGGGCCTGGCTTACTTCACTGTAATCCCTGGGGCGGGGTAGGGAGGGTGGGTGGCAGGTGGGGCTGGGGGCATGGACGGCGCTCCAGGCTGGCCAGTGGGACTCCCCTGTCAGCTGCCTCTCCCACAGCTTTGCTTTGGCACCTTTTCCTCCTCTCCCAGCCGGGCCCTTGGCTTCCCTCTGCCTCCCTGTGCTCTGAGTCTGGCCCCGTCTGCTTGTCGGACACAGTGGGTCTTGCTTGGCCTCTTGGCCCTGAGTCTCCATCCCCATCTCTTTGACCACATCCCGGGACTGGGTTTCTGACCCTTCACTCCCCGCCCCAGGAGTTCCTGAAGAAGGAGTTCAGTGCCGAGAACCTGACTTTCTGGAAGGCCTGCGAGCGCTTCCAGCAGATCCCCGCCAGCGACACCCAGCAGGTGGGGGGACCCGGAGCTGAGGCAGAGAGGTGGGTGGGACCAGGGCCTGGGCGGCGCCCCTGACCTTTGCCCGTCCCGCCTGCCCCAGCTGGCTCGGGAGGCCCGCAGCATCTACCAGGAGTTCCTGTCCAGCCAGGCGCTGAGCCCCGTGAACATCGACCGGCAGGCCTGGGTCGGTGAGGAGGTGCTGGCGGAGCCGCGGCCGGACATGTTCCGGGCACAGCAGCTCCAGGTGAGAGGGCGTGGCCTGGGCGGGACCCCAGCGGAAAAGGGGCGGGGCCAGATCCAGGGGCGGAGCCTGAACGGCGTAGGCAGTGTTTCCCAAACTTCTCTCAAGATGAGAATCACCTGGTGGAGTTGTTAAACTACAGATTCCTGAATCCCAACTAAGAAGTGCTAAACTAGCCGAAACCGGTTTGGCTCAGTGGTAGAGCGTCGGCCTGTGGAGTGAAAGGTCCCGGATTCGATTCCGGTCAAGGGCATGTACCTTGGTTGCGGTGCAAGAGGCAGCTGGTCGATGTTTCTCTCTCATCGACGTTTCTAGCTCTCTAGCTCTCTCCCTTCCTCTCTGTAAAAAATCAATAAAATATATTTTTTTAAAAAAGAAGTGCTAAATTAGAATTTTTGGGAACATATAGGTAAAATTGTATACTTAACTAGTGCTCTAAGCTATGGATAAGCACTAGTTAAGTATACAATTTTACCTATAAGTTTAGCACTTCTTAGTTGGGATTCAGGAATCTGTATTTTAACAACTCCACCAGGGATTCTCATCATGAGAGAAGTTTGGGAAACACTGGCGTAGGGTAAGGGGTGAGGAATGGGGAGGGGGAATTTGGTTGTGGGCTTGGGATCAAATAGGGCGGGCGGGCGCTGTTCAGAGGTGGGAACCTGAGGCTGCGGAGATGGAGGGGTCAGGGGCGGGGCCCAGCACAGGGGGGCTGAGCTGAGCTGAGACGTGGGCGGGGCCAGGAGCAGGGGCGGGGCCTGGGCTCGGAGGAGGGTCCCTCCCTAGGTTAGGGACCGGGCCAGCTCCGCGAGCCCGGCCTGGGACCCGAGCTCACGGTCCAGGCGCCTGTCGCCGTAGATCTTCAACTTGATGAAGTTCGACAGCTACGCGCGCTTCGTCAAGTCCCCCCTGTACCGCGAGTGCCTCCTGGCGGAGGCTCAGGGGCGCCCCCTGCGGGAACCTGATTCCTTGCGCCTCGGCAGCCCCGACGCCACCAGGAAGGTGCGGACACTGGGCTATGGGGGATGGGGACAGGGTGCCCGGTGCAGATCTACGGGGGTGCTCGGGGTCTGCATGCGGTGCCAGTGCCTCCCCTGTACCTGCAGAAGCCGAAGCTGAAGCCCGGGAACTCGCTGCCGCTGGGTGTGGAGGAGCTGGGGCAGCTGCCGCCGGCTGAGGGCGCTGCGGGCCGCCCGCTCCGCAAGTCCTTCCGCGGGGGTGAGAGCTGGAGCTGGCCTGGGAGAAGAGAGGGGGCGGGAGTGTGGGCAAGCCTTGAGAATGCCCCTTCCTCCTACTTGTCCCACCGTCTGTACGTTCGTGGAAACCGAAATAAATGCAGGTCCCAGTGGCCACCACGTTCCCCAGGTGGTTTGGTTCCCAGGCTAGACACCAAAAGTCTGGGAAGCTCCCTCAGGAGCGATGCTTGCAGGAACCCAAACTTCGTTAAACCCCTGCAAAGGCCTCCAACGGGGCCCTCTGGCGGGGACAGGTCTCAGCAGAGGGAGGCGCTGCCCTGCTTATGCTCCCTCTCCCCTAGAACTGCCGGGCTCAGCAGCAAATTCGGCCTCCCTCAACTCCTCCGCCAGTCTGGACCTGGGCTTCCTTGCCTTCCTTAACAGCAAATATGAGGTAAGCATCCTGCTGGGGGGACAAAGTGCGGGCTAGGGCCACTTTGTGTGGCCACCATCGTTCCTATCACCATCCCACGTCCATCTCTCCAGCTTGCTCCTTGTAGCCAGTCCCTCCATCTCCTTACTTTCTACCCGTCCTCACCGTATTGGGCCCGATGCATAGCATGGGTGCACCTCCTCTTCACCAGTGTGTGTGCCCAGATGTACAGTGTGTGTGTGTGTGTGTGTGTGTGTGTGTGTGTGTGTTTGTGTGTGTATAGGGGAGGAACAATGGACCTGCCTCTGGGTGCTCATATGCCCAGTTGAGCATACAGTATATGTGTTCCTGTAAGAGGGCAGGTGTGCTCTTGGGGCGGGGGTGTGCATGTTTGTATGAATGTGTCCCAGTGAGCTTACCTGTCTGTGTACTGTCCGCGTGTCCTTGAATGTGTGCACATGACCTCCTCACCGCTCCTGCCCCGAATCAGCACCATCGGAAGAGCCTTGGGAGCTCAGAAGGTGAGAGTGAAAGCCGGACGGGGAAGTACTGCTGCGTGTACCTGCCTGATGGCACCGCCTCTTTGGTCCTGGCCCGGCCTGGCCTCACCATCCGGGCCATGATGGCAGGCATCTGTGAGAAACGAGGCCTCTCCCTACCTGACATCAAGGTCTACCTGGTGGGCAACGAGCAGGTGCGAACGTGGCCTGGTCCCCAACTCCAACTCCCTTCCTGGTCCTGATCCCAGCCCGATTCCTGTCTCTGCTCAGCTGTGACTTCAACCCCATTGCCATTCTGAATCTCCTGGACCTCTGCTTCGAATTCCATCCCATATCCTCACCCCCTTCCTAACTCCAGCCCCTACCCACCTATCCCTGTCTCATGCCCAACTCCAAATCAGCTCAGCACCAACTCCTCACTTAAACTCAGATATCCACTCTCAACCTCCAAAATCCTACCCCCCCCCCGCAACTCCCAGCCTATCCTGCTTTCCAGTTTCATCAACTATCACTCTGATGGGTTCTGGGGTGTCCAGTAGGGAGAAGCCCTGCTGGAGGAAGGTTTTCCTGCAGCACCCCCCGCTCAGACTGCCCATCCTGAAATGACCATTTGGGGGAGCCCTCGCCTCCTCTACTACTTGGAGCACCTAACCTATGAAAACCTTCCTTTAGGTGCAAATGAGCATAGCTTTAAAGCACATGTGTCAAACACAAGGCCTGCGGGCCAAATCCGTCCCGCCAGGCCTTGCAATGTGGCCCGCACCACGCTGTCATCACTGCACTCCGCTGCGTTTCCATCACAATGACAGTTTATGACTGTTCAGTAAACCATTCGGCCCGCGATTTAGGCTGGATTTTAGATTTTGGCCCCTTCTCTGATTGAGTTCGACACCCCTACTTTAAAGAGAGGTCTGAGGAAAACTCACTTTAAGGGAAGGCTCCCATAGGGGGTCTAAGTAAGACTGCTGCAGAAGGCCCGTCAGGATTCATTCACCCCGTAGAGAGGGCTCAGGCCTGTCAGGTGGGTGGCAGAGGGACGTGGCCTGGGCTGTCCTCCAGGACCATGGCTGGGGGTGAGCCAGACAGGATGCGATCAGGGAGGAGGTGTGAAACCTCCCGGGGGTTTCTGGGGTGAGGAAGGCATTCCTGGTTGGTGGCAGGAAGGCTTCCTGGAGGAGGCAGCAGTGGAGAGGAGGAGGAGGAGCTGTGGGAGGAGTGAAGGCCTGGTGGGTAAGAAGTTCAGGGCATGTTCAGGGGCTCAGAGCGTGGGAGTGTGAGGGCCGGGGAGGAAGAGCTCTGCCCATTCCCTCAAGCCTCCAGAGCAGCCTCCACAGCCCGGACTTCCACGTCTGCTAAATATAACGTCACCGCCCACACTCCACCTGCCCCTGCAGCACAGCACAGGCCCGGGGTGAGGGTGGGCTGCCTCCCTGCCCGGCTGGTACAGGTGGCAGAGCCTCGGGGAGCAGTAATCACTGCAGCCTGGCCTCACCGTTTATGTACCTACTGTGTGCCAGGCACTGCGCCAGACACTTCACATCCCCCAGTCCTCACAGCAGACATGGGGAAGAGCCCTTTTTGCAGTGAGGACGCAGGAAGTGTCCTTACTAGGTGGGGATGGAGAGAAGTGGACAAATGTCCAAAAAGGCACAAGGCCTGGATAGCTGCCCCAACGTGGGTGTGGAGGAGGAAGTGCGGCCACTGCTCCAGGTGGGATTCACAGGCCTGAGGGACACGGGACAGCTGTCCAGGGGGCAGACCCTGTCCTGGACCAGGAAGAGGCGCTATGATCTAGGACCTAAGCCTGCCTCTTACCCAAGCAACCCCATTACCATTTCGTGCCCCCGCCCCCCACCTCCCAGGTTTCCCAAAGCTCCCTCCTTTTGCAATCTGTCCAGCATTCTGCCACCCTTCTCCGTAGCCTTGGCCAGGTTCCTAACGCATCCTCCTCTGTGCCTCTCACCTGCCCATCCGCCCTTCCCTCTAAACGTCAGGGCAGCCCCTAAAGAGGTGTAGGTGGTCCCCTGGGGCAGCGGGGATCACCAGGGGTGGGGGAGGACTCAGACCCTGCCTGGCGTCTGCAGAAGGCCCTGGTCCTGGATCAGGACTGCACCGTGCTGGCGGACCAGGAAGTGAGGCTGGAAAACAGGATCACCTTCCAGTGAGTGCCCCTCCCGCCAGGCCTGGGTTGGGGGTCGGTGTTCTAGCCTCTGCTCTTCCCTGCATGTCCTTCCCCGGGCGCTTACACCTCTCCCGGGACTAAGTTCCCCCCCCCACCCCCCCGCGCCGGCAGGAGGGTCTCCCGGGTTCGGGCCCCGCCTCCCCCGGGTGGACGGTGTGGGGCGGGAGGAGGGCGGGCCGGCGCGCCGCCCTTCCGCAGCCCGGGTCCCCGCAGGCTGGAGCTGGCGGCGCTGCAGCGCGTGGTGCTCATCTCGGCCAAGCCCACCAAGCGGCTGCGGGAGGCGCTGCAGCCCATCCTGGCGAAGCACGGCCTGAGCGCTCACCAGATCGAGCTGCGCCGGGTGAGCCGCGGGGCCGGGGCGGGGCCGGGCCGGGCGGCGGGCTGCGGGCTGCGGGCCCTGCGGGTGCTGACCTGACCCCGCAGCCAGGCGAGAAGCAGCCGCTGGACCTGGGGAAGCCAGTGAGCTCGGTGGCGGCCCAGAGGCTGGTGTTGGACACCCTCCCAGGTAGGGAATGTGGGCCCCAGGTGTGGTCCCCCGGGCTGACCGACCCAGGAGTAAAAGGGGAGGGGGGAGGTGGGCTCCAGGCGGGAGATGGACGCAAAAGGCGGCGCTCTCTGCCACAGGTGTGAAGATTTCTGAAACCGGCGACACCTGTCCCCGCCGAAGCCAGGTGAGCGAGAGGCGGAGGGCCTTCCCTTGCCCACCGCACCTCCCTCCTGGTTGTGGTTCTGACCTCACGTTCCCACAGCACACCCCGCCTGGAACACAGGACAAGGGCATCCCCCTCCCTCCACTGTCGCTCAGCTCCCTGGCCGAGGCTCCCAGCAGTGTCTCTGGGAAGCGACAGACCTGTGACATTGAAGGTACCCTGGGGAGGGTGGGAGCTAGGGACCAGGGGAGGTGGGACCATTGAGATGGCATCAGGGGACCAAATGTCACTTGAGCTGGAACAGGAAGTTGGAGGGCCAGCAGGGCAGGGGCAGGGGGTGGAATAGTGTGTGTGGGTCTGTGTGGGTGGGCCCCTGACTCTGTGGCCACCACCCCCAGGCCTGGTGGAGCTGCTGAACCGGGTACAGAGCAGCGGGGCCCATGACCAGAGGGGCCTTCTGCGCAAAGAGGACCTGGTGCTTCCAGAATTTCTGCAGCTGCCTGCTCACGGGCCCGACTCCCAGGAGGCCCCAGCACAGACTGAATCATCAGCCAAGCCCAAGAGGGGCCCCTGGGACTCTGCCCTCTGACAGCCGTCCGACAGGCCAGATTGGCCGTGTGGCCCCCGGCGGGCCCAGCATGCCACGTCCCGCTCTGCATGCCGTGTCTGTGCTGTGAGTGTCCCTGGCCCTTCCTGCCACGGGCAGGCCCGGAGGAGGAGCCAGGAGGGTTTGGAGAGGGGCTCTGAGCAGCCACACAGCCACCACCCCTTGGTCCCTCACAGGCTTGCCCTCCATCCCTGCAGCCAGGCCACTGCGGGGAGGTGGGGCTCCCCTCCTTTCTTTCTCTACCCTGTGCAGGCGTGCCCATCACAGAGGGGTGGTGTTGGCAGTGCCAGCCTCCCCACCTGTGCCAGCTTCACCAGGGAGCAGGAGGAGGGCAGGCCCCCCCTCAGGGAGCCAGTATGAGTAAGGGCCGGGGGAGGGGGGGCAGGTGGGTGGCTCCTCCCTCTAGCCACTGCACTCTGCTGGATGGACAGATTTTGCACTTGGGTTGGGGCAGCTAGGTTTGTCCTGGATGTATAATATTGTTATATAATAATTATTATTATTCTGCCTTGAGGCGTGTTCCTTGTGTACCCTGTACTCCACCCCCTCAAACCACACTGCACCCCCCAAACCACAACGCATCTGTCATCAAGGTCACAGGGCGCGGAGCGCCCCCTGATTTCCTGTTATCAGAACTTCTCTTCTTGACTGTACAGAGTATGGAGGGCAGGGGAGAGAGAGAGAGAGAGAGAGAGAGAGAGAGAGAGAGAGAGAGAGGTAACACTGAAGAGGGAGGGAGAGGAAGGGGAAGACCCTCTGGGCAGCTGTGCCTCTGCCGGGTTTTTCCTTGGTTTTTGATCTGAGTACAGTGTCTACTCACTTTCTGCTTCTTTATGGGACTGGGGGTCCCTGAAGACTTAGCTGTGGTTTCTGAGGATGCATTGAAGGCCTTGTAGGGGGCACTGGGCGTTGCTGCTGGGGCAGGTCCTGCCCCTTTCCTGCTCTCGCTGCGTGGCCTTCCCTGTCCCAGGCAGCCAGGGCAGCCCCATGCAGGGAAGCCCGCCCAGAAGAAGGGTCCCGCCTGTAGGCAGAGAAGCCAGATTCAGTCCCGGTGGTGAGACAGAGGAAGCAAGGGGACGCAGGAGATGCAAGATGGTATCTGGGGAGTGAGGGGTCCTTTTTTTAAATATATATATATTTTATTGATTTTTTACAGAGAGGAATTGAGAATGATAGAGAGTTAGAAACATCAATGAGAGAATCATCTATCAGCTGCCTCTTGCACACCCTCTACTGGGAATGTGCCCGCAACCAATGTATTATACATGCCCTTGACCGGAATTGAACCCGGGACCTTTTAGTCTGCAGGCTGATGCTCTATCCACTGGGCCAAACTGGTCTCGGCGTGAGGGGTCCTCTTGATCACCTCAGCAGGCTGAGCTCTCATCCCCACTCCAGCTCTTTGCACTTCCTGCCACCTCTGCCGGCAGCTCCAGTGGCACCAACACCCCACCATGTCACTGGAGAGATGGGGAGGGGGATGCGTTGCTGGCCCACTATGCTTTTCTCCAGACGTCAGAGCCAAACCTTCCTATTTAAGAGGGCTTCAGCACTCTGCCCCCTCAGTCCATGTTGTTGGGCTGTGTTGACCCCTAGCTGCTGGCATGAGCTCATGACCCAGGCCTGACCAGTCGGTTTAGTTCAGGGATGATCTCACGCAGTGAGGACACCAGCCCTGGCCATTTTCTACCATCTCCCGGGGACGTGCAGAAAGGACCTGCAGGGAGAGAACCTACATGCAAATGAAGGCAACATAGGAGACGAGGACTGAGAGACGGAAGGAGACTCCTGACAAAATTATCTAAATGCCTACATTCCTGCACGCTCCACGTTAGCCACCTGTAGACTTCCTCCTGCGATAAGCCCACGCGCTGATTCTCTGGATGTGGATCTAGTTGTTACTGAACTGGGGTTTCTACGATCTGCAACCACAGAGTCCTGGTTCGTTGAAGCTCTTGTCTTAAACACCTCAGAGGAGCCGTCCCTCGTCACCTCACACTGTGACCTGTGTGTGTGTATGTGTGTCCCCACATTCATATGTTCAAATCCCAACCCCCAGAGTGATGGTGCTTACAGGTGGAAGGTGATTAGTATGAGGCAGTCAGTGCCTTTATAAGAAACCCCAGAGAGCAGCCTCATCCCTCCCACCATGTGAGGGACACACCGAGAGGACGGCCCTCGGCCCTCGGCAGCCTGAAGAGAGCTCTCACCACACCCCAACCATGCTGCCACCCTGGTCTCAGACCTCCAGCCTCTGCAACTGTGAGAAATACGTCCTGTTGTTTATAAGCCACCCAGCCTCTGGCAGAGTTGTTCTGGCAGCCCAAGGGGACGAAGACATCACATCCCACGTGCTCCCCAGCGTTATTCTCCACCGTGTCACCCAGCTTTCTTCCTTCACAGCACGGGCCCCCTCTAACAACCTTATTTGCTCATTTACTAATACACACATTTGTTGACCATATGATGTCGGTGCCTTAATGGCAGGGACCTCGTCCCTCTTTGTCACCTCTGTATCCCCTTGGCCTAGAGGGCTGACAGGTGATGCCACTGCCTCGGTTGGTCCCAACAAAGGATGCGGGGCCAACAGGGCAGTGGGGGTCCTGGGCAGCGGACAGCTTAGCACCGGGGTCACAGCCTGTGGCTGAAGATGTGGGTAGGGAGACAACCCGTGTCTCTTCCCTGATCAGCTGCAGAACCACTCACACTTCCTGGGCCCCAAGGCCTCACCCTGAGGCAGGAGACACCCCTCCATGCCCCAGGGAAGAGAGGTGGGGGCACGAGGTCACAGACAAAGTCCTGGTTCGTTGAAGCTCTTGTCTTAAACACCTCAGAGGAGCCGTCCCTCCTCACCTCACACTGTGACCTGTGTGTGTGTATGTGTGTCCCCATATGTTCAAATCCCAACCCCCAGAGTGATGGTGCTTAGAGGTGGAAGGTGATTAGTATGAGGCAGTCAGTGCCTTTATAAGAAACCCCAGAGAGCGGCCTCATCCCTCCCACCATGCGAGGGGTGTCTCAAAGTTGGCAGATCCTCAGGCCAAGCCCACCCTTCCGCAGACCTCCCAACTGCCAGTGACGTGCCTGCCAAGCTGAGGGACCAAGGAGACTGCCTCATGAGAAAGGGGGCCGTGAGTCAGGTGGATGAGCCTTCCTGAAGGTTGGCCCCTGCAGGGGGAGGAATTCACATCTACCAAGGCCCCCAATTTGGCACATTCCATCCTTTATCTCATTTTCGTCACAACAAAACAGCCCAGTGGGTCTGAAACCAGGGCTGCAGGAAGGAAGGGAAGTGACCAGCCCAGGATTCTGTAAGCAGCTTGACCAGCCAGCCCCCAGGCTCTGACTTGGGGACACACCCAGGAAGGGCCTGGGTGCTGCAGAAATCCCTTTCATGGAGGGGACATAGATATGGCTGCTCCGGGAGGCAGTTTGGGAATTTCTGCCGACAACGAAAACCACACAGCAGAGCCTCTCACTCCTGGGCATGACCTGGAAACTGGCAGACAGCCAGATGTGCACGGTGAGGGGTGCGGTGGGTGGGGAGGGGAACAGTACTTGGCGGTGTACCCATGCTCTGCAGTGCCACAGCAGGTAAGGAACCGAGTACAGTGTGTCCTGATGTGGAAAGTTCTCCAAGATGTGTCATTATTCTTAAAAAAAAAAAAAAAAAAAAAATAGAGCAATGCATATGGCATGAGATCTTTATATAAACCACAACCACACAGGCACTTGTTAGTGAACAGAAAGGGGAGGGAATGTTCTAGAACACATGTGTCAAACACAAGGCCCGCGGGCCAAATCCGTCCCACCAGGCCTTGCAATGTGGCCCGCACCGCGCTGTCATCACTGCACTCCGCTGCGTTTCCATCACAATGACAGTTTATGACTGTTCAGTAAACCATTCGGCCCACGATTTAGGCTGGATTTTAGATTTTGGCCCCTTCTCTGATTGAGTTCGACACCCCTATTCTAGAAGAATACATGTCAAACTGATGGGGGTAGAGGTCAAAGGAGATTTTTCATCTTAGCTTTAATTTTGTTATTGTTGTTAACCCTCATCCAAGGACATTTTTTCCATCAATTTTTAGAGAGAGTGGGAGGGAGGGAGGAAGGCAGAGAGAGAGAGAGAGAGAGAGAGAGAGAGAGAGAGAGAGAAACATCGATTGGTTGCCTCCTGCATGTACCTGGCTGGGAGCAAGGGATCAAGCCTGCAACCCAGGTACATGCCCTTGACCGGCAATCAAACCCACCACCCTTTGGTGCACTGGCCAACAGAACGCTGTCCAGGGCCTAGCTTTATTTATTTATTTATTCTTAATATATTTTATTGATTTTTCACAGAAAGAAAGGAAAAGGGATGGAGAGCCAGAAACATCAATGAGAGAGAATTATTGACCAGCTGCCTCCTTCCAACCCCCCACCGGGGATGTGCCCGCAACCAATGTACATGCCCTTGACCGGAATTGAACCTGGGACCTTTCAGTCCACAGACTGACGCTCTATCCACTGAGCCAAACCGGTTTTGGCCTAGCTTTATTTTTTTAAAGGATGCAATTTAAAAAATAATCAACCTCTGTGTCACTGCTGGCCTGCCAGCCCTTTCTCCATAATAAAACCCAAGTCTTCCTTCGGGGCTTCACCCACCACCTGGAGGCACATTTTGGCTGGCCAGGCGTATTCTCTGCCACCATCTCCTCTGTGACCCCTCCTCCAACATGTCCTCTGCAGCTGCTTGGACAGAGGGGAATCTTCATTCCCAGAATCCCTCAGCCCCACCAGGCCCAGAGGCAGGGGATCAGTTGGTCCACCCACAGGCCCTGTTCCAAAGCCCCTGCATGGATCTAGACTCCCAGTGCTCGAGAGGGTCCCACGGCTGCTTCCCCTCGCCTCACCGGGTGGGAAGCCAGGAGAGGAGTCGGTCTGTCCACCTAGACCCCAGCAGAAGGGAAAAGAGAGACCACACATTTGCTGTCTGCTCTGCAGCCTCCAGTACCACCATCCTCGGAGGACACAGGCTGAGCCAGCAGGTGCGACTTCCTTAGGACCCCACGGAACCCACGTCCTCTGGCTCCAAGCCTCGGAGAGAGAATCTTGTTCCCTGTCTCTCATCGCCTAATCCCCCTTAATGGCCTCGGGGCTGGGGAAGGGGTTGGCATGAGACGGGCACAGGGTGAGCACAGGCACACAGTGACCTAGGCTCTGAGCCAGGGTTGGGGCGGGGAGGGGCAGGGGCTGCTCACCTGGGGCCCAGATGGAAGTGCTGAGGCAGCTGTAGCTCATGTTCCCTGGGCAGCCACCCCCGCCCCCACGGGTGAGCACAAGGTGCACCCTGCAGAGAGGCCGGGCCTGGTGGTCAAGTGACTCTGACTTGTGGGGGATTAGAGGCTGGAATTCAGCTTCCACAAGGAGGCAAAGGCCCAGGTAGAGAGGAACACGCGCGGCTGATTACATTGAATGAGATGCAGCCCGGGCTGGGCACAGGCCCATATGGCTGCACAACTGTCA